GGGCGGAGGGGGCCCCGCCGCCGCTGCTGCTCTTCTATGTGGGGCCCTCTTTGGTCTTTTTTCCTCGTTTCTTCTCCTAATTTATTTAATCGAACTGTTTTAATTGCATTTTATTGTTTATTTAGACTTCAAATTCGTCGGTTTAAACCCAAAACCCATAGAAAAGCTATACAGACAGGCCAGCAGCAGCGCGAGCTCGCGGGGCCCCCGACCCCCTTCGCGCTCCTTGGGGGCCCCTGCAGCCGCAGCGGGGGCCCTAGCCTAGCCTCTCTATATTTCACTTCTTTGCTAAACAGATTTATTTATTTAATTAAAATTTCCCCTTTCTGACCAACAGAGTCCTCAGGGGGCCCTCCGGAGCCTCACCACAGCCTCGCTAGACAGACAGCCAGCGTCGCCGCCCACTGTACCCTCTTTTGTATGGATAAGGGCCGCCCCGAGGCCCCCCTGGGGGCCCCCGGGGGGCCCCCCGGGGGCCCCCTAGACTCATTTGTGGCTCGGGCTAAGGCAGCTAGGGGCCCCCAGCTGCTGCAGGTTCTTCAGGAGGCCCTGCTGCACCCCGACCTCTTTATTTTCGGGGAGCTGCTGGCCCTAGACAATGTGCAGCAGCTAGGCGGGCCCCCCGGGGGTGAAGGGGGGCCCGCTTTGGAGGGGCCCCCGGGGGGCCCCCCCACAGAAGGGGGCCCCCTGGAGGGGGGCCCCCGCATGCTGTTTCTGCTGCGTCTGATGGCATCTGGGACAGTCAAAGACCTCGTGGAGAGCCTCGGGGGGCCCCTGGGGGCCCCCGTACCCCCCCAGCTTCTTTACAAGCTGCGGCTGCTAACTATAGTCTCCTGGGCTTCTGTGTCTTGCTGTATTTCTTTCAAAGAGCTGCAGGGGGCCCTGGAGGCCCCTGGCTGTTGCAGCGCAGCAGCAGGGCTGCTGCAGCAGGGAGGGCCCTCCGGGGGGCCCTCCGGTGGGACCCCCGGGTGGGCGCAGCCGGATGAGGGCCCCGCAGGGGCCCCCGACAGCAGCAGCAGCAGCAGCAGCAGCACCGCAGCAGCAGCAGCAGCAGCAAAAGAGTGGCTAACGGAGTCGGAAGTGGAAGAAATGGCAGTTACTTGTTTGCGTTTGGGTTTGCTGCGGGGGCGTGTGGACGGGGAGCTGGGGTGTATAGACACCTGGGGGGCCCCCCTCCGAGACCCCACAGAAAAAGATATTGACCCAATGTTATCAGTTTTAAAAAGTTTCCAACACAAAGTCTCCCACATTTTGCTGCTGCTCAACACTGCCAAACAAAATATGCTGCACATCAAGCACCCCTAAAAATGGCCCACAGCCAACCTCGGGGGGCCCCCACAGGGCCCCAGAGGGGCCCCAGAGGGGCCCCAGAAGAGGGTCCCCAGAAGAGGGGCCCCAGAAGAGGGGCCCCAGAGGGGCCCCAGAGAGGCCCCAGAAGAGGGGCCCCAGAAGAGAAGCCCCAGAGGGGCCCCAGAAGGGCCCCAGAGGGGCCCCAGAGGGGGCCCAGAAGAGGAGCCCCGGAGGGGCCCCAGAAGAGGGGCTAGAAGGGGGCCCACAAGAGGGGCCCAAGAAGTGGGGCCCCAGGGGGGCCCCCATGCCAGAGACCGACCCCAAAGGGGGCCCCTCAGTGCTCCTCCTAGGGAGCCCCCAAGGTTGGGCATGAAGCGGCTTCAGTCGGCCTTTGGGCTGTGGGGCCCCCTCAGTTGAAACCTCCCGGGGGGCCCCCCTTGGGGGCCCTCCAGGGGCCCCCAAGGGGGCCCTAGAAAGCCCCTCAGGGGCCCCTAGAAGGCCACGGGGGGTCCCAGGGGTCAGCTCTGTCTATTCAGAAACCTGGGAGGCGCCGGGGCCCCTAGGTGACCCTCGGGGGCCCCCCTGGTCCTTCTTCGGTGCTGGCCCCCAAGCACTTGAATCTTTTGGGGGCCCCCTGAGGGCTGCTGCAAGCGCTGCAGCTGCGGCAGGAAGAACTGCAAATCCGAGGCCTAAGGGCCCCCGTTGGGGCCCCATAGGGGCCCCTGAAGAGACTCCTAGGGGCCCCCGTAGGGGCCCCCGTAGGGGCTCCCGTAGGGGCTCCCGTAGGCGCTCCCGTAGGGGCCCCCGTAGGAACGTAGGGGCTCCCGTAGGGGCCCCCGTAGGGCCCCCGTAGGGGCCCTTGGAGAGCCCTTCAGGCCCCGAAAAGCCCCTCTCTCGGCGTTCATAAACTCAAACTCTTTAGCGAAATGCACGCTAGCTAAACCCTTTCCTAAACCCTCGCCTAAACCCCAAACCCTCGCCTAAACCCTAGCAACTAAAGCCTCAAAACCCCACTAAGCCCTTCAGCCCAAACTGCCGCTTCCCCAGCGCTGCCGGCATCTCCTAGACGCCAAAGTTAAAAAGGGGGGCCCCCACAGCTTCTGCCGCAGCACAGGGGGCCCCCTAGGGCCCCGCAGGCCACAAAATGGAAGTCTGGGGGCCCCCGCAGCCGCCAGGCCCAGTCTATTGGGGCTTTGGGGGCCCCCAGGGGGCCCCTCCGAGGGCCAGGGTCCCCTGGGCAGTGCCCACTGAGGCACTTGGGGGCCCTCTGCCACTCACATAAACCCGTTGAGCCAAAGCCCTCAAAGGTGCCTTGGGGGCCCCCAAGGGCCTCCTCTGGGGCCCCCAAGGGCCTCCTCGGCGGCCTCCTGACTGAACTACGTTCTGCCACAGCAAAAGCCTCCTTGGGGGCCCCGGCCCTACAAGGGCAGTCTGCTCGGGGGCCCCAGTGGGCCCCTGTGGGCCCCCGTGGGATTCAAAGAACTTAGGAAGGCCCTGGAAGGCTTCGGGGGGCCCCCAAGGGCCTCCGGGGGCCCCTAAGGGCCTCGGGAGGCACCATGGGCCTTAGGGGGCCCCCAAGGGGCTCAAGTGCTGCCCTCAGACTCCGCCTAGGAGCGCTTTGGGGCCGAAGAGTTCTCTGATGTTGCTGCTGCCATACTTGATCATTGTGGGCCTGAGCAGCAGCAAAGAAAAGACAGAGGCGCAGCAAGAGTGAAGCAGCAGCAGCAGCAGCAAAGCAATGGAGCAGCGGCGACGGGAGGCAAAGAGATATATGCTGAAGCCCCCGTGGCTGGAGGAGCTGCAGCAGGCCCTTAATCCGAAGAGAAGCATCAGCCCCAGAGACGCTGCAGCAGCAGCAACAGCAGCAGCAGCAACAGAAGCAGCAGCAACAGCCGCAGCAGCGGCACGTGCAGCAGCATCAGTAGACGCCGCAGCAGGTTGTGCAGCTG